GTGCCTGAGCTTGATCATTGTGAATGTCCTTGCCTGTTTTTTCTCTTCTATTCTGTGTCAACTTAGGATAATAACCCTGTCTGTTACCACCAATGTGGATTCATAGATGTGCAATACCCTAACTCAATCATGTGGATAATGTATTCATCCTATAAATCTGTATTTCAGTTTCAGGACAGTGATGGTTGGAGTGCAATAGTTGCCACAAGTAAAGTAATGAACCATTTAGCAGTTATAGTGCAGTCTGTTGCAAAGTATCTCTTGGTGTCTCTCTCTCTCTCCCTACCCATCTGTAGCAATAATCATGTAAGACAGTCTTTGAAATAGTGACATAACTGAGTGACTATACCAAGCATTAAAATCTAGTTAAAGTTACCATACCATTTCTGACATTGACCTCATTAATACTGCTGTATCACATCTGATTCTTACAGACAGAATGCCTTTAGATAGTTATATTACTTTGGTGAGTATAAAATACATGAGTGAAGAGAAAATAACCCATTCTAGTTGTGATGAGGAATACAATAACCCATCACCATAGCAAAGAGTATATTTTATTTGAAAAATACGAATAAAAGATTTTGTCCCTTTTGTTTATTAAAAGAAAATGTAACAATTTCTATCAGTAACACTTGCATAAGGAGGTATACTTTACATTACTCTTTTGTTAAAAAATATATATATATATTTGGAGACTTTGGAAAAATAAGGATGGCCCAATACTTGCAACACGCTCCTAATGTTCCTTAGAATGCACTGTGCCATTTATATGTACTGCAAGTACAAGGTCTCAGCACTTTATAATCCACAAAGTAACCCTAGGCAGCATAATCTCATACTCTTCTCTGCATTTAGAACATTTCCTTTGTTACCCTTTGTGTGATTCTATGAGTTTAGTTAACTCCAGGCTGGTCCAATATTTAGATTTTCTAAAAGATGATTTTACAAAGCCTTAGACCACAGAAATTTTGTAATTCCTTTGAAATACCATTGAGAATATTTTCACATAGCCATTTTCTTGCAGTATTCACAACTTAAACAACTGCATCAATTAGAATTCAAAACCAAAAATGCTTACAATTATTTTGGTTTTCTAAGAAGAATGCAAAAAATAAAGTGCATAACAGAATGAAATTACTTTCAACTTTTACAGTGTTCTATATGTATGTAATAAATGGCGACACTGACAAACAAATTTGTTCTCAATGTATGAATCTTAATCTAATGCCAGTTGAATTCAAGCTCTTCCTTGTCTTCAAAGTGTATTAAAATACATTTTTGACTGGTTTTAGGTTGACAATATATTTTTACATTTTAAAATACTTACACAGACCATTTTCTCAGAAGACGTGTCAAGATTACAGCATACTGAGTGCACTCACCATTACAAGAGAGGGTTTGTTTGAAGGAATGCGACTAATTAATTAAATGTACTATTAGTTGAATAGCTGTTGCAGAAATAAAATTGTAAATTGGAAAGCCCTTAAGCATCACTGTTTATGTGCCATTTAACTTTACTCAGTATCTTCCAGTTTAAGTAAAACTGGCCGTTTTCAGGGGTTAGTTGTTAAGCAGCAACAGGAATACTATTTAGGCTAACAGGAAAACACTTGTGAATGAGTACACAAAATATCCATGAAAGCTTTAAGCAAAGTCTGTACAATCACACTTAACTATAAACTAGGAAAGAGTTTCCCACGATACTTTCACTGAATGTATACTTTGTTTAAATCAGCACTGCTACAAAATGATGGTGCCCTCCTTGGCATACAGTGTTAATTTTCTTCCAGTTTAATCAACGTTAACATAGAAATTCTCAAATATAGTTTAAATTTGTTTCAAGGACACAAAGGACCAAAGGAAAAATTTGTAGGATGGGGAAAAGAAATCTGTAAACCTGTTCTTTCTGCACTGTGAGGCCTTTTTCTGTGGCCCTGAAGATTTAATATTCTGCTATTTGTCATGCAAACAACACAGCACTGTGATGTGTATTTGAGTAAAAAAACAGTAAGCACAGCAAGCATGCAGACATATCATGATAGAAAAGCACATTTGGAGATCACTGTGGATAGGACATACCAAATGGGACACACTGTAGCATCACTGAAGCAGCGTCTCAATAACCCTGCAGAGTTTTAAAATTATTCAGAATTCCTGGGGCTGCGGGTATGACACACGTGCTGTACAGCAGCCAAAAGAGCACCAGGAATGGTGAAAAGGGCATTCTTATTCCTCTGAGATATGACCTCCTTCTCTCATTAACTTAAGCAGAACATGAGTATAAGGAGCGATTATTTGCTTGTCACTGCACTTCTGTTGGCTTTAAGCCTGAATGTTCTATGATGCAAATAAAAAGAAAACAATGATGGAAACACTGCTTAAAGCACAAAACACAGTTGATTTTCCCCGCTTTAGTGTAGGGCCAGAGGGAACAGACATAAGATAATACCTGGCTCTCAAAACTGTAATACAGCAATGAATGCAGTTTTCATGCAGATGTGGTACGAAGTATTATGGCCCATGGTACTACTAAAGCTGAAAGATTTTCTTCTGAGCGCTCTACTCATACAATATAACAATTTAGATGTTGGCATAAAGCAAGTGTGATCTAAATAGAAAGAAAATTTATCCTCATAAAATCCTGCACTACTAGTTACTTCATTTGGGACAAAACTGAAACATATCCTAACTCTAGTCCCAAAAAAGACAATACATAAACCATTCTCATCTTGATTATAACCCTTACTGCATTAAAGCATACGTTTAACTTTACTCTACAATGAGAATGTCTCCTTAAATGCATTTCTAGAAGATTCTGTATTTGGTAAAATTTTTAAAAAATATTAAAAATCTGAACAGATATTAAACTACTTTCAAACCATCAGCAGAACATTTTAGGGTTTGGGTTTTCTTCCCCTCTAAATTGCCTTGTGGGTTCAGATGTTGACAGAAAGGAAAACATTACAATTTTCAAGTTGCAAACAAAACAGTGTAGTAAAAAACAATTCTGGAACTACAGTGCAACTAATACTTTTTAGAGTTTGAAAGTTTCTTACAAAGCTACTTGTTAATTTTTCCAGAAGTCTGTTTAAACCAAAAGCAGTCAATAACATCTCAGGAAGGAGTTCATTTAAAAATAAAAAAAAATCCTCAAAGTAGAACTTATCAGAAGTTTCAGTCATGTCTAGGACCTACCCAACCATACAGTAAAGAAGGGAAGGCTTAATAATCTGCTTCACCTGTGTGGCCCACGGAAGGGCAGCAATAAATACAGGCCCTGCTTAGAGGAGCAAAAGGTACTTCCTTCTCTACTAAGCTGAAGGTAGGTGGCACCTAAAATGCATAGGGAGGAATCTAGTGGAGTGTACAGATCTGTATCGCTCTCCACACCAGCCCAGAGAGTAAAAAAACAGTACACAGTTTCTGCTCTGGACGGTTTCCCTATCAAATGCATAATGCAAGAAGTCCACTTCCCTAAGTGGGCTACAATTTTTCTTAGAAGCAGAAAACTGTAATAGATGGTGAGCCTTATAGGTCATACTCTTTCATGGGATATTATGAGCTCCTGGTCTTCTCATAATATTATCACAAGAAAGAGAAACAGAAGGTTAAAGTTTCAAACAAAACAAAGGAAAACATAAGAATCTGCTGGTTTAGGTGTTAAGCAGCCTGCAATGTTAAACAGAACTGTTAAGCAGTTCTGCAATGCTAAGAAGTTACTAAAATAAGAAATCAATTTATTTAATCCATAGGAATCAAAATAATGGTACATTTTAATTTTTTCTTCCTCCACTGACTTAAAATGTTCCTGTGCCCATGATACTTGAAATAGGGAGAGAAAAGCTCGCTCTGCCTAGATGGAAATTACTCATAGAGAAATTAAATATCAGTAGATTGAAATAAAAAGAAAAAAGCATCATAATCTTGCTCTTTTAGTTTCAATTTTCTCTATTCCAATGTCTTACCAGCACCTCTGTTTTGCTTTTAGTCACACATGGAAATAGAGAGACATTATGATTAAGAACTCCATGTTACAAACTGACTGTTGTAGCTCCTGGACTCAGACCAGCAAAAGACTTGAAAAGGTTCATCTATCGACATAAGTGAAGCACAGTGAACCAAACAACTGCATAGTTTAATGGTGCTGCCACTGTTGTTTTTATTGAAAGAGCCTATGCTTCATCTGCTTTGCTGCATAAAGGGTACTTTCGACCCATTCCATTTAAATGAATGATGTTCCCATGAAAAGACAAAAAGAGAAAGCAGCTACTGGAAACAACAGTTCCTCTAGCACGCAGTAACAGAGCAGGTCTGGGGTTACGGGCTAGAGCCATGTTTGGGCTGACAGCTGATGATGCCTTCCCTCTGTTAGCTGGTTATGGATGGAAAGATTATGAAGGACATAACAAAATGACATTACCTCAATGCAACCTGCTAATTCAGTAAGATTAAATCATCAAAGGACCATTTATTTAAGAGGACAGGTGTGGCTTATCCCTTCTGTAAAGGAAACAGACTGTTTCCTTCACTTCTCACACGGAGCGTAAACTCCACTGGCTACCTCACATTGGGATCACAAGGCCCAGAGCACAGCTAGAAATGCAACATCACAACCACCTGCAAGAGATTTGCTCCTCCATTAGCTATCTTCCTAAACAGGCATGACTATAAACTTACTGTAGCTTGGAGATGTTAAGCATATTGCAATAAAAATGTCATTGCTTGGCTTTACTTTAGGTATTGTTACAGATATGGTACCACAGACTTTATTGTGCAATTAAAAAATATACACAAGGGACAATAGCTTCTTTTTTCTGTATTTTTCAAAATTTGACTTTCTTCCAATTGAGAACCCAGTTTCAAATATGAAAAGGGCACTTGTTCTATAGTAACTGCATACAACTTGCTCAGTTCCAAGTACTGTATTCATTTTTTGTTACTGCTGCTGTTATTATATCTCCAGTCGTTTAGGAACTTTTCTGTTGTGGGAATTACAACTAAGTTGTTCTTTCTGATTCTATTTCTCCATAGAGTTCAGCTAGCTTCTTGAACTCAGGTCCCCAGTCTCCAAGGTAATTATAATCCTGGTCAGAGTGTGTTGTGGCTGAATCCAGCGAGCTGATAGATCCAGCTTCTGATCTATGACCCTCATAGGCATATGTCTGTAGGGAGTCATATGGGGGCACACTGGGGTCCAGATCAGCCTCTGCCAGTCTTTGCTTAATGAACTCCTGAACATCTATACTGTCAAGGCTTGAGGAGGGGTGATGCCTGGGCACTGGCTTCACTTCAGGACGAACATCCCTCCGGTATTTTAGCTCCTCAGCAGCCGATGGATTCCGCAGTGCTGTGATGTCGAATGCTTCTGTGTCTTCTTCTCCACCGCCCTCATCATCATATGTCACAACATTTTCCCGGACGTCTTCTTCTGAAATGATCAAGGGCTCCTTCTTGCTACGTCTTAGAGTGATGAAAAGGACCACAATTGCTAAAGAGAAAACTGCAGATATTAGATAAGGTTTAAAGTTTACATCTGAAGTAAGTACATATATGCTACAGAAATAGCAGATATTAAGTCATGAACACAGAAGCGTAATACTTTCAGGCTAATATGGGTATTCAGGATCATTACGTCAGGCACATGTCTGTAATAAAGGGCCACCAAACCTATCCAACCTGGAAAAGAGTGTACTTATATTCCCAAGTGTGCAATGCCTTTGTTGTGTAACGTGTTACCTGAAGATGGGTCGCTGTATGCCTGGAAAGCACCCATGAAATCCATACAGCTGTGCTTTGACATAGCAACATGCCAAAGTGCAACAAGTGGAGACCACACAATTAAGGGGAAAATTAATAATGCTGTACTGAAACTACAAACTTGCGATACAACCTTCCAAAGGGTCAGTAAAGAGCACTCTTCTACTGTATATTTTCTTTGTGGGGATTGCTGAGGTTTCTTGAGACAATAATGAAATCCACTAGTTACATTATCAGGGATCTCATAAAGGAGATAAAAGGGGATAACATACTTTCAGTTAAATGAGAAATGAGTAACTAAGGCTGACATTTTTCAGAAGCATTGTTAAAGGCTTTCAGTGCTTCATTAAAACTGTTATTTAGCATATACATTGAACTAAAATGTAAAAGGTTTATTTTTTCGCTTATGAATATTCAATCTTGTATGATAAAATCTGAGATTATAAACTAAATGTATTAATATACATTTTAAAACAGCTTTCTGACAAGGTAGTTCTGAAGTAACCTGTGAGAAAAGTAGTCTTATAAAAATGTAGAGCCTTTGGAAAAAAAAAGTCCACAAAATCTCCTATGTGGGTCATAGTGCGATTCTCAGTATTTCTTGCTGTCTCTGTAAGAACACAGAAAGGCACACGAGTTGTACAGGGATATGTACCCAGCAAGTTGTGCCTCTGCCAGGAAAAAAAAAAGAATATAAGCTAATGGGTAACATTCAAATTGGTCTGGGCAAAAAAAAAAGTCAAGAGAAAATGCACTTGCAAGGGCATTTATCTAATGGAGTCATCTTATAGTCTCATATGTCCCTTGCCCCTGTGGATTATGTTGTGCATTGCTATCAGCTTATCCCACAAAGGTAATTAAGAAATGGCTTTTGTACAGTGCTAATGGTGCTTCTTACAGGGTAATGCATTTCAAAAAGCTTTCCTCATCTCTTTTCTATCATTTTTCACACTGTTCTATACATGGAATTAGAGTCAGTGGCTTTTTGAAATCTTTCCAAATTACAGAAAAAAGATCTACAGTGCTAATTATGTGATAACCTCTGAAAAATAATTTCTAGTGGATTCCAGATATTCATGAATGTACTTTAAAGGCACTTTTCCCTATTAATTTTAGCAAAACCTTTCCCCCCTAATCACAGCTATGTGTTTCTAATTACCTCCTACTACCAGGCAGCCTCTGGTTCAAAAACATATCATATTAAAAATTTCTGCCCTGTCACATTCAGAGAGCCAGTGGAAGGATAGCATTACTTAATATTGAAAATGGCTTACCAAGAAGAATGACAACACAGAGCAGGATTGCAATTAAAGCTCCCGTGCTCAAGCCAGCTGAAGAGAGGAAAGCTTCAGAATGGCAAGTTCTCACTCGTCCATCTCTCTCACATGCACAAACCCTAATTGTGAGAGTACTGCTGCTGCTGAGAGGGGGCACTCCACCATCAGAAATCAAAACTGGGAGGTAATAGATATCTTGAGTGGTTCGACTGTATCTCCTTCGTCTTGTCAGGATACTGGCTGTATTATCTACAATATCAAAACCAGAATATCATTTTAATTAAGAAAAAAATTAAAAATGTTAATGACTGTTTTCCATCAAATAGAAGCACGAAGCATCTTAAAACTAGACAGTCCTAGAAAACACACAATCTAGAATTAAAATGACAGGAAGCATTTGTGGCCAATGGAGGAAAAAGAGGAGGCAGAGGAAAGTAATTAGCATTACATAAATAAGATTGTTGAAGCTCATGTACCTGTCTGTCTTAGAATGAACGTTGACACATATTTTGGGCCCAGTTTGCAAATGCTGTAATCCCATGTTATGCTGTGAGTAGTACGTGCACACTTGTAAATGTGAATACCTGGAATTCTCAGAATATCTGTTGTGGAATTCATCCACAACATAAAATCCTCTTCATTCTCAGAAGAATATTAAAAGGTATTTAGTAAAAGTTAAAATAAAACTTTCATGTTTTACTCTTTGTGATAGGTTTTCTACATCAAATGAGCTTTCAGTAAACAACTGAAAGGACAGCGGCCAAAGACTCATGCTGTGGGGAGATCAAGAGGAAGAAGGGAAGGGAAGGGAGCAGATATTAAATATTCTAAACTGGTAGAGGTTAAAGGTAAGTAAGGAAAGGGGAGAGAAAGTGATGTAAGATTATGTCACCGTTATGTTACCTCCAGGTCCATCTGACATATATTACAGTCAATGAGAATACTAATGCTTATTACACACACATTGCAAGAGCATTTATAGGCATTAATTAGGATAGTAAGCTACCACCCATATCCCTTTAAGTCCAAGAAATTAAGGGGCATAAGAGAGTGCAGGGGAAGAAATGCTATGATAATATATAGTTATATCTTATTTTCATATGTTTAAAATTTAATTTCAGTTTGTTGCCACTACTTTAAAAGTACTGGCCCCTGAATAAGAGCCCACAGATAAACTGAACAAAATTAGAGACAGTGAGAAATCAGAGACATGGGCAGTTGTGGAGAGAGAGAGACGGGGACTGAGAAATGGGAATAGAGATTGGAAGAAAAGAGGTCTCCTTTTGTACTGCTTGCCCATGATTAACAGTCACACAGTTTCCAAATGGCAGGGTTGTGGGTTTGGAGTTTTTTAACAAACAACACAGGGACGATAAGTGCAAAAATACATCTGCTGGGTTTCTCTTCCTATTACAAAGAAACCAGAAAAACTTCTTTTTACTTACCACTTTCCTCACCACTGTAGCTATAGCATTAAATAGGTTTATCATAATCTATGGACAAAAGATGTCTGTGATATTTTGTGAAAATCTAGTGCAACAATACAAATAGTGTGGCATATTTTAGCCCGTAGGACTGATTATTTTTCACACACACATCTGAATGCAGGAATTAAGTTTTTGTTTAAACTGGATACAGACTGTTTACCAGGTGACTATTCTTCACGCCACATCAAGTTATGTGCCGAATTTTAAAACATGCATTTTAACTCACTTCTCTCAACATTTTGCTTTTGCATATCACCCGACAGTGGTACTGAGAAACACTGATAGTATAGCCCCACATCAGCATAAAATCATAGCATAATATATTTGGTAACAGGTTTCACACAAGAAATATATATGAGGTGGGAAGTAATACCCTTGCTGCTGAGCCAAGAAGTGAGCATCATGTTCCACTGCATTGAAATTCATTATCTTTTCTTCTCCACCCCCCCGTACTTCTTGGTAATCTCCAGCATGGTGAGTTTGTTATAAACTCATTAAGTTTTGTTCTTCTTGTTTGCAGAGGGTGCAAATATGATTTTCATTTATTTATTTATTTGCAGTAGGCCTTGAAGTCCTCTTCTGCTTGTTCATGTCAAGGTATACTTTTGATGACTGAATCCTGAATTCATGCCAGCTTCCTCTTTAGAGGCATGACACCAGCCACCTATAATTCTGTTTATATTTATTCCATTTACAGAACCTTACCGAAACCAGAATGAGATGAACAGATAATTCTTTCATCTGAACAAATCTGACACAGAGTAAGATCATCATGTTGTGGAAATACTTTCACAGAGGTTATAAAATGCCTATGATAAAACATACTGTTTTGCTTACAAAGCAGCCAGATAACTACACATACCCCGCCCTCCAAAATAAAAAAGTGTTTTCAATAACTTGCAGAAGAACTCCAACATAGATGTGATTAAAAGATATAGAGTAAATAAGTATTTTCTTTTGATATAGGGTTGTGGAAATGATTCCTATATACTTAGAGCATATGACATGCAGAAATATTTCTTTCATTTTTATAAAAACTTAGCTCTTCTCCATATTGCTTAATCTGGGCTTGTGAAACCTTATAAAAACATACTGTGCTATTCTCAGTAATGCTGATTTTTTTCATTATCTTGTTAAGAAATAAATGATTTCCACATTATTCTGAAACTAGACTAGGGAGCAAAGTGTTCTGTGTTATAAATGAGTCAACTGAATGAAAAAATTCGAACTTGGTATCACTGAAATTCAGATTGCATTTATTGTATAAAGAAAACTCTCCCCTAAAGCAGAGTAAGCAGTGGCCTTAAGGCCATAATTACAGATTGTGCCCACCCATGAAGGTCTTGGTAGGCTCTGCCAGTCTAATTTTTTTTTTTTCTACGATATATAGAAAAGTATCAAGTCTAATTTTACAAATTTGGACCAGCTTGTTCTTCGATACATCTATGGTCTTCTACTTTTAATTAAATGCAGTACATGAACAATCTCAGTGATCTATTTTAAAATACTCCTATAATGAGCAAATAATCTTATGGAACATAGATTACAACGAGGTAGATTGCCTGCATGTCTTTTTAGTTTTTCAAAACATATCGGTATAATCAGGGGGTAAAGTAAGCAGCTGTTTTACTTTTCTGCTATATAATGTTGCATACAAAAATTTTGCTTGCTTTGTTTTTTTAATAATATCTTGCCCGTTTGTCATTCCCTACATTTTTTTATGCTAGACTGTCAGTCCCAACTTCCCTAATACTGCTGGAGGACACAGATAAAATCTTCAGTGGTTCAAAGAGGGAAACCACCATAGAATACAAAATGACCTTCAGCTGGTCTGCCTGTCAGCTGCCAAAGCAGTGGCAGATTGAGGTCTAGATACAGTCCAAGAGCAGAAATAAACTCTGTGATTAGTAGGGAATTTCAAATTAATACATATTTTGCATAAAACCAAGTTAATGTTCACAGTATATGTATAAGGTGATGACCACTGCTTCTGCCTTTCTACACTCAAAAAAAAGCTTCATCATCATTTCCGCCATGTTCATGAAAAACTCCAGTGGCTTTCTTGTTGTTCAGAATCCAATTTACAATTGGTTCCCTTCCTTGAAATGCAACTTGTTACAGATTATTAGCACAGCTCCTTTCTAACAGTTCCTCTTTTTATCTCCTGCAGTTGCAGGTTGTTAAACAAAACAAGGCTGGGGAGTGAGTATGATCCCTGGAACACCAGCTGTTCATACTGCTAAATTTTAGCACTCTCCCTGGTATTTCATTGGTCTGGGCCAACTAGGACTCTCTCCCATAACACCCAACCACAGAGTTAACAACATACACCCAGGACCCTTCGCAGCAGGCAGTACGGACAAGAGTGCACCAGGTTTGTCTCCTCCCACTTTACACAGTGCTTCAACATTATTCCAACAGCCTGCGGTCCCTCAAGCATCCCTAAACAGCCTCCTGCTACACACTCTACAGCACATAACTTCCTTTCGTGACATGATAACACTGCTCTGCTGGGCTGCAATGCAACTTCCACATTATTTCACAAACTCAGAAGAGAAAAAAAAACATAATGATGAAGTCTGAGTTCCATTGGGTACTACACGGGATCCAGAAGAGGTGCAAAGCTAAGTGGTATGTAATGTACACAGTCAGCCTGTGTTATTAAGCTTCATTGCAAGAGAACAGTCACAGTCCTGTTTTCCTTTGTGGGTCGTTGTTCTTTTTTTGTTCTTTTCTTTTTTTCCCCCCCCTCAGCACCACTATTGCCACAATAAACTAAAGTCTGAGTGGTCACCTGGAAATCTCACTGAAGTCATTAAAGAAGTGCAACACTCCCATATGTACCTTTTATATCATGTACTTAACAACAGAAAAAGAAAGCAGTTTCAAAGAAGTGACAGTTCTAAGGAGGTTTACATTTCAAGTTACAACAAATGAGAAGATAGCAATCACACAACAAAGTTATCCAGAAATAATACCTTAAAAACCTAAGGATATGTTCAAGGACTCGGCTTGAAATGTAATTCCCTATTGGTACTAGGTGACACCATATCCATGAGCTAAGCATTAATATTAATGTCTGTCATGTCTCTCATCCCAAAAGAAAAAATTCTCAGATCTTATACTCCTAAATCCAAAAGGTGACAGCAAGTGTCATTACCAATAATAAGAACAGCCTTTCATTTCTGCTTAATACTCTACTTTGTTTCTGTTATGGTGTCTACAAGCCCCAAACACTGCAGGTCAGCTACCTTGTCCATATAAGTAAGAAAATCCTACAAAATTTTCTCAATGTGAATCTTCCTGGGCTGACACCCAAAGAAGGCCCAGTATTCAAATCTGAGCAGGAAAGCACAACGGCCTCTTTCTATCCTCTGGCATAAATCTAAAAAAGAGTGAATTATCCAGTACCACTATACAGCTACAGAAGCAGTGATGAAAATGCAGGCTGGAAAGAAAAGCATCAGAGACCAAATATAATGAAGAAAAACTGAGGATTCCTGAGCAGGAATCTAGCAGTAACAAAAGGATTTAAGCACAGAGACTAGGGGCAAAAATGTAAAGGAAAGAGCATTGAGATGTGAACATGTATGCTATAAGGAAAACTGTGGACACATGGGGGAAAAATTGTAAGGACAATAAATAAAAACTGTAAGAAAAATAAAAGGAAAATACCAAAATGACAAAATGGACAATCAGGACAATTCAAATGTTACAGTGAAAAAATTTGAAAAGAGCTATAAATAAACCATGCTTGGCCGG